CTGAGCTCCCGGCCCACAGGAACCAGGGGAGATAAACGCTTACGGTTGCTTTAGGCGGCTGTCGTTAACTGACACACACCTCCATGTCCTCCCAATGTCTCCCCCTCATTATTTGTCTGATTGTTTTTTTATTTCTATTTTGTTTATTTTTTACAGAGAGGAAGGGAGAGGGATAGAGAGTTAGAAACATCAATGAGAAACATCGATCAGCTGCCTCCTGCACACCCCCCACTGGGGATGTGCCTGCAACCAAGGTACATGCCCTTGACCGGAATCGAACCCGGGACCCTTGAGTCCGCAGGCCGACGCTCTATCCACTGAGCCACACCGGACAGGGCTGATTGTTTTTTTAAATATATTTCTTTATTGATTTCAGAGAGGAAGGGAGAGGGAGAGAATGATGAGAGAGAATCATGGATCGCCTGCCTCCTGCACGCCCCCTACTGGGGATCGAGACCACAACCCTGGCATGTGCCCTTGACCGGAATTGAACCTGGGACCATTCGGTCCGCAGGCCGACGCTCTATCCACTCAGCCACACCGGCCACGGCCATTTGTCTGATCTTATCCTTCATTTTTCTCCCCATCACTTCTCACTCTGACACACTCTCGTTGGTCTCGTTGCTGGAGGCTGAACTCCCCGCACCTCAAGGTTTTTCCCTGCTGGCACCCCTGCCAGGCACGCTGCACACGCAGAGCCACGGTCTCACCTTCTCCAGGTCTTTGCTCAAGGGTCCCCTCCGCAGGGAGAACCTCCCCTGAGGGCCCCCGTGGGAGGAGCCCGCCTGCCCCAGCCACTTCCTAGCTCTGCCTTCGCTTCGTAGCCCCAGCAGGACCGGCTTCAGAATAATCGGTGGGTCCCAGAGCAAAATGAAAGTGCAGAGCCCTGGGGTCTTTAGGGTGAGTTGAAAGGGTTTATGGGATGGAGATCCATTGAATAAGTGCTCACCAGCATTACAGGACTTGAGGACACATCTATATTAATAAAGGGTAATATGCTAATTAGACCAGAGGTCTTCTGGATGTCATTCCTGATGAAGCCAGGGTGGAGGGAAGCTAGCCTGGGTCCCGGGTGCTTGCCGGTGGCCGGAGGAGGGCAGCCCGGGTCCCTGGTGCTGGAAGGAAGCCGGTGCCAGCAACCAAGGGGAAGGAAGTCCTACTCTTGCATGAATTTTCATGCATCGGGCCTCTAGTCTTCACATAATTGGCATGACCTATAACCTGTGCTATCACAGATCTCCTTTTTTTTTTAAAATATATTTTATTGATTTTTAAAAAATATATTTTATTAATTTTTTACAGAGAGGAAGGGAGAGGGATAGAGAGTCAGAAACATCGATGAGAGAGAAACATTGATCAGCTGCCTCCTGCACACCCCCCACTGGAGATGTGCCCGCAACCCAGGCACATGCCCTTGACCGGAATGGAACCTGGGACCCTTGAGTCCGCAGGCCGACGCTCTATCCACTGAGCCAAACCGGTTAGGGCAGATCTCCTTTCATTATTTATTCTAGTTGAGGAATGTGCACAAGAAATGCAAATATCGTATTGTTATTCCCCAGGGTTAGGAAACTTGGGGAATGTCCACATTACTTGATGGTGTAAAATCAGTGTTATGTTTAATGGTTGGGTTGTTTTTAATGCTTATTTGCTAACGAAAACATCTAAACTCAATAAATAACTTAAAAATGTTCTGTTGGCCCTAACCGGTTTGGCTCAGTGGATAGAGCATCGGCCTGCGGACTCAAGGGTCCCAGGTTCCATTCTGGTCAAGGGCATGTACCTGGGTTGCGGGCACATCTCCAGTAGGGGGTGTGCAGGAGGCAGCTGATCGATGCTTCTCTCTCATCGATGTTTCTAACTCTCTATCCCTCTCCCTTCCTCTCTGTAAAAAATCAATAAAATATATTTGTATAAATAAAAAGAAAGGAAACAATGGAAATGCAGAGCCCTGGCCAGTGTGGCTCGATTGATTGGGCTTCGTCTCATGCACCTGAAAGGTTGTGGGTTTCAGTTGTGTTAGGGCACATGCCTGGGTTACGGACTAAATCCCCAGTAGGGGGTGTGCAAGAGGCAGCCGATCACTGATTTTTCTCTCATCATTGATGTTTCTCTCTCCCTCTCCCTTCCTCTCTGAAATATATATATTTTAAAAACCTCCAGAGGAAGCATGGCCCAGCCAACATCTTGATTTAAGCTCAAAAAACAAAAACAGCCCTAATCGGTGTGGCTCAGTGGATAGAGCGTGGGCCTGCGGACTCAAGGGTCCCAGGTTCCAGTCCGGTCAAGGGCATGTACCTTGGTTGCGGGCACATCCTCAGTGGGGGGTGTGCAGGAGGCAGCTGATCGATGTTTCTCTCTCATCGATGTTTCTAACTCTCCCTCTCCCTTCCTCTCTGTAAAAAAAAATCAATAAAAATATATTTAAAAAACAAAAAACAAAAAAAACCTGGTGTTGAGATCCCACCCACCAAAACTGCAAGGGAGCAAATTTCCGTTGTTGTTCAGCCACTGGCTTGGTGGGCATTTGTCACAGCAGCTGCTGGACGCTAATACAGATGGTCGGTTCAGTGACGGGATCCATGGAAAGTGGATGGCTCATCTGACCGACGGATTGCAGGGTTCGTGGGAAGAGGGAACCAATAGAATGAATTAAAGAAGGAAAGAAGGGGATGGAGCCTTGGAGAGCCGGGGGAGGGCGGGGGGGACTGAATACGTGATGACTGAATGGCGAGGCGGGGAGAGCGGGGAGGTGGGTGGGTGAAATGCTGCTTGGCTGAGTGCATACAGACAAGAACACACGCTCAGACGAATGCGTTCCTGGAGAGCTGCCTGAGTCGGAGCGGCCCCCCCCATCCTCGGCTCCTCTCCTGCTTGTGAGAAAAAATTCAGATGAGTGACAGAAAGCGGTGCTGAAATAAAGCAAGAGATTTTAAAAAATATATATTTAATTGATGTTTTACAGAGAGGAAGGGAGAGGGATAGAGAGCCAGAAACATTGATGAGAGAGAAACATCGATCAGCCGCCTCCTGCACACCCCCTACTGGGGATGTGTGCACAACCCAGGTACATGCCCCTGACCGGAATCGAACCTGGGACCCTTGAGTCCGCAGGCCCACGCTCTATCCACTGAGCCACACTGGTTAGGGCTAAAGCAAGAGATTTTGACTAAGGAAGCAAAGCAAGCGGGTTTATTAAGGATACGCTTGGCGCCCGGCTGGCGTGGCTCGGTGACTGAGCGTCTGTCTATGAACCAGGAGGTCAGGGTTCGATTCCTGGTCAGGGCACAGGCCCGGTTGGGTTGCAGGCTCCATCCCGCGGGGGTCATGCAGGAGGCAGCCGATCAATGATTCTCTCACTGTTCATGTTTCTGTCTCTCTCTCTCTCTCTCTCTCTCCCTCTCTCTCTCTCTCTCTCTTCTCTCTGGAATCACATAACACAACATCCACCACTCCCACCGCTAGAAGGTGTGTGATTCCGTGACCTCTCGCTAGGGGACACGGTGACACGGTCCTGCCACTGTCACTTCTACCTGCTGCTACACCATTGTCATCTCCCCAGAGGAAGTGACTAAGCAGTCACGGCCGGCCGCTTCCCCCAGCCCCGGGCAGCCAGCAGCCTGCTTTCTGTTCCTCCGGCCAGGGCCACGTGGGAAATCTTCAGGCTTCGTCGGCCCAGGGGTGGGGTGGGGTGGGCTTTGGCAGAGCTGAGCTCATCTCCCTCCCCGTCTCCCTGTGCAGGTGGCTGACCTATGTCCCAGTCCGAAGGCTTTTCTCTGCCTGTCCCTGCTTCCTCTCCCCTTTATCTCTCTCTGGCATCGTTCCCAAGAAATTCCTCCATCTCTTCCTGGAGGACCGCAGGACAGGGCAAGCCTGGGAGGTCCAGGTGTGTGGGCAGAGCAGGGCAGCCCGCACGCCCCCAGGCGGCTCCTTGGCGGTATTGAGCGTCGCCTGGAGGACCCAGGGATGTGCACAGCTGGCTTTAGGGAGAACGTCCCCGCGCGGGGACAGGTCCACAGCCACAGAGGGCAGTGAGGAGTGGCCAGGGGCTGGGGGAGGAGGGACGGGGAGGGCCTGCTCCATGGGTACCAGGCCTCCTTCTGGGGAGATGGAAAACCTCTGGGACTGGAAGGAGGGCAGAGGGGGTTGCACAACAATGGGAAGTCCTAAATGCCATGGAATTTTATATTTCGAAATGGCTAATTTCATGTTGTGTGAATTGTGTCCCAATTTTCAAAAGGAGCGGGTGGGTGCTGAGGGAGGAGGGCTGGGGGCCTGGACTCCTGGGTCTGAGGGAGGAGGGGCGGGGGGCCTGGACTCCTGGGTCTGAGGGAGGAGGGGCTGGGGGCCTGGACTCCTGGGTCTGAGGGAGGAGGGCTGGGGGCCTGGACTCCTGGGTCTGAGGGAGGAGGGCTGGGGGCCTGGACTCCTGGGTCTGAGGGAGGAGGGGCTGGGGGCCTGGACTCCTGGGTCTGAGGGAGGAGGGCTGGGGGCCTGGGCTCCTGGGTCTGAGGGAGGAGGGCTGGGGGCCTGGGCTCCTGGGTCTGAGGGAGGAGGGCTGGGGGCCTGGACTCCTGGGTCTGAGGGAGGAGGCTGGGGGTCTGGACTCCTGGGTCTGAGGGAGGAGGGCTAGGGGCCTGGGCTCCTGGGTCTGAGGGAGGAGGGCTGGGGGCCTGGGCTCCTGGGTCTGAGGGAGGAGGGCTGGGGGCCTGGACTCCTGGGTCTGAGGGAGGAGGGCTGGGGGCCTGGGCTCCTGGGTCCTGGGGAAGCGGGTGGAGGCTGGGACCCCAACACCCAAGATTGGGGGCGGGGTGGGTAGAAAGGAGTGGGAAAGTGCAGGGCTGCCTGTGGGAGCAGACGTGGAGGAAGCAGCTGCTTTCTGGGAAGGCTCTCAGATGGAGATGTCATCACCGAGGTCTCCCTCCCTCCCACCCAGGCCCTGCCGGCTGGGGAACCCCCGGCCCTCGGCCCTCCTCCGGGAGGAAGGGAGAGCAGGGAGGGGGGTCAGCAGCTGGGGAGGAGGCGGGGTCACCGGGCCCAGAGCCAGCAGCCCGCCCACAGAAGTGCCCTTGGAAAGGGCGTGGACCTGCGGGCCGGGATTCTGGGTCCCCCAGACGGTAGGAGCGGGGCAGTGGGACCCCCGGGGATAGGAAGGAAAGCATTTGCTCCAGGAGGGCCTGGGGGCCTGGATGTCTGGGTTCCCCCCCTGCCCCTCCCACTAGGAAGAGAGAGCTGGAGGCTCCGATGGGCGGGTGATTGGCGGGTCCGGGGAGGATGAGGGCTGGGGGTTGGCATGTGGAACCTATAAAGTGGGAGGAAGGAAGTTGGGGGCCTCCTGATGCTGAGGAGCTGCCTGGTTCTGAGCAGGCGGAAGTGGCCCTTTGGGGGTGACGTCCCTCCACAGTGGCAGCCAGACTCTTGTCCCGTCACTCAGGTCGTTGTGGACTTTGCTTTTCTTTGAAAGCCGCCCACTGTCCAAGCCCCACCCCCAATCCCCAGCATTTCCTCTCTGAGCCGTTCACACCTCCAGTCGCCCCAGTTGCCCCCCGACAGGACCAACGAACCCGAACCCGGAGAGCTGGAGCCCAGCAGGTGAGCATTGCAGGGGGGGGGGGGGGAGCCAGAGGCTGGCAGGGGCGAGACTCTGAAGGTGGGTGAGAGGAGGGCAGCTGGGAGGCACCTGAGGATAAAGGTTAAAGGGCATCTGAACGGAGGGGAAGTGCCCAGGCTGAGAGCTGGCTCACCTAACCAGGCCACACCCCACCTCCCCGAGTCCCACCCACCCCATCCGCCCTTCCTTCTGCCTGGGAGCCAATGGGGGCCTCAGAGGCAGGCAGCCAAGATCTGATAGGCCTGGACCCTCCTGACACACACACACACACACACACACACACACACACACACACAGACAGAGAGACAGAGAGAAAGCGAGATTCATCAGTGGACCTGTCTTCCTCTGCAGAGCCCTGGGCATGTGGGGCTACCTGGCCCTGCTACCTGCCTTCCTGGCCCTCTGGGCTGCCACCAGCATCTGGACCGTGTGAGTGTTATGGGTAGATGATGCCTGGGTCTGAGGGAGGAGGGGCTGGAGTCAGGACTCCTGGGTCTGAGGGAGGAGGGGCTGGAGTCAGGACTCCTGGGTCTGAGGGAGGATGGGCTGGGGGCCTGGGCTCCTGGGTCTGAGGGAGGAGGGGCTGGGGGCCTGGACTTCTGGGTCTGAGGGAGGAGGAGGCTGGGGGCCTGGGCTCCTGGGTCTGAGGGAGGAGGAGGCTGGGGGCCTGGGCTCCTGGGTCTGAGGGAGGAGGAGGCTGGGGGCCTGGGCTCCTGGGTCTGAGGGAGGAGGGGCTGGGGGCCTGGGCTCCTGGGTCTGAGGGAGGAGGGGCTGGGGGTCTGGGCTCCTGGGTCTGAGGGAGGAGGGGCTGGGGGCCTGGGCTCCTGGGTCTGAGGGAGGAGGAGGCTGGGGGCCTGGGCTCCTGGGTCTGAGGGAGGAGGGGCTGGGGGTCTGGGCTCCTGGGTCTGAGGGAGGAGGAGGCTGGGGGCCTGGGCTCCTGGGTCTGAGGGAGGAGGCAGTCTGGTTTCTGGGTAACGGAAAGAAAAGTTGCGTGGAAAGCAGCTGCTCATTGGACGTCTTCCCCTCCTTCAGTTTCGCAATCGCCGTGGCCAACAAGACTGTGAACCTGACGGAAGGCATCCCCTATATCAGGTAGTGAAGGCGCCTGGCGGGGCAAGAGGGCGGAACGGGGGTCCCGGCTCCGTGGAGCCACAGGTGATGCCGTATCTTCCCTAGTCTCTGCGGATCCTACCCACCCCAGAGCTGCATCTTCAGCCAGCTGCTCAACATGGGAGCTGCTATGGGTAACTGTCCCAGCTCCTGGCCCCAGAGCCGCCCCCTCTCACCCTGCAGGATAGACCCCCAGCCCCTCCTCCCTCTGTCCCAGGAGCCCAGGCCCCCAGCCCCTCCTCCCTCTGTCCCAGGAGTCCAGGCCCCAGCCCCTCCTCCCTCAGACCCAGGAACCCAGGCCCCCAGCCCCTCCTCCCTCAGACCCAGGAATCCAGCCCCCAGCCCCTCCTCCCTCAGACCCAGGAATCCAGCCCCCAGCCCCTCCTCCCTCAGACCCAGGAGCCCAGGCCCCCAGCCCCTCCTCCCTCAGACCCAGGAGCCCAGGCCCCCAGCCCCTCCTCCCTCAGACCCAGGAGTCCAGGCCCCCAGCCCTCCTCCCTCAGACCCAGGAATCCAGCCCCCAGCCCCTCCTCCCTCAGACCCAGGAGCCCAGGCCCCCAGCCCCTCCTCCCTCAGACCCAGGAATCCAGCCCCCAGCCCCTCCTCCCTCAGACCCAGGAGCCCAAGCCCCCAGCCCCTCCTCCCTCAGACCAGGAGTCCAGGCCCCCAGCCCCTCCTCCCTCAGACCCAGGAGTCCAGACCCCCAGCCCCTCCTCCCTCAGACCCAGGAATCCAGCCCCTGCCCCTCCTCCCTCAGACCCAGGAGTCCAGGCCCCCAGCCCCTCCTCCCTCAGACCCAGGAATCCAGCCCCCAGCCCCTCCTCCCTCAGACCCAGGAATCCAGCCCCTGCCCCTCCTCCCTCAGCCCCTCCTCCCTCAGACCCAGGAGCCCAGCCCCCCAGCCCCTCCTCCCTCAGACCCAGGAGCCCAGGCCCCCAGCCCCTCCTCCCTCAGACCCAGGAGCCCAGGCCCCACCCTCTCCTCCCCTAAGTCGGGGATTTGCCCCCCACCCCTGCACCCCCAGATCTCCCGCGCCACACTACCCCCCCACTTCCCTTTCCTCGCAGCCGCCTGGATCTGCATTCTCCGTTACCACCAATTCCGGGACTGGGGCGTCGGGAAGTGGTCTAACCAGCTGATCCTCTGGTCAGGGCTCCTCTGTGCCTTCGGCACCTCCGTGGTGGGCAATTTCCAGGTGAGTCAAAGTCGGCTCCTGGAGCCCAGCCCTGGGGGCCGGCCGGCTATCATCTGGGACTACAACTCCCAGCATCCTCCGGGGCGGTCGGTTAGTTCTTTGCGGGGGGGCTCGGCGCCGCATAGCCTCCTGGGACATGTATTTCTTTGCGGTTCTCGGGCCGTGGGCATGCGGGGTGACTCCTTAGGGCGGCTGTCTGAATGGAGCGCCGCGTGGGAGGCGCTTTCTAGTGATTCCGCCGCACGCTGGGAGGTTGCACCCTGTCGTCCTCCACCCGTCGGTGATGAAAGGACTGCTAGTCACTCATTCTCGATGTTGGCCACGTTGGCGGAGTTTGCCCTAGGCTGTACCTACTCTGCACACGAACTCCAGGCGGGTCCTTCCCGGCCAGATCCCACGGGGAGGTGTTTTTCATGGTCGGATATGAACCCAGATTCACAGACTCTGGAACGCACGTTGCTAACCGCGAAGCTCCGTAGATCTTTGCAGAATAAACGAATGCACACGTGATGGGAGAAATGCCGCTGGTGGATGTAGTGTTATCATTTCACTGCACAATGTCTGCCTCCAGCCACAGGGTGTCGGACCCGAGGCTCCCTCCAACTTGTCAGCAAATGTCCCCCATCATATCTGCACATCCGTTCACTCACGCGTTCTCTCTCCCTTAAAAAAAACAATTTATTTAATTGATTTTCAGCGAGGAAGGGAGAGGGAGAGAGAGATAGGAACATCAATGATGAGAGAGAATCATGGATGAGCTGCCTCGTGCACGCCCCCTACTGGAGATCCAGTCCATAACCCCGGGCATGTTCCCTTGACCGGAATCGAACCCAGGACCCTTCAGTCCGCAGGCTGACGCTCTATCCACTGAGCCACACCAGTTAAGGCCAAAAACCAATTTCTATCCCCTTGGCGGCAGCGCCTACTCTCCCAAACCCCGGGTGAGAAGAACAGATTTATTGCACCAACATCTGCCTGAGCCTCTGCTCCGAGCCAGGCACTGTTTTAGGGATTGAGGCCCTAGCGGTGAAGGACAGGTGTAAATGCCCGCCCTCCCGGAGCTGAGGACAGCTGATGCTTGTACTCAGGGACACGATCATTGGGCGTGGCGGTTGTCAATCACTGTGCATGGGGTTGGTCAGGGGCCTGGCCTCTGCAGGGGTCTTCCCCTCACCTCTCCCTCCTGCTCCTCCTCCTTCCAGCAAAAGAACCAGCTGGCCACGCACCTGACGGGCGCCTTCTTGGCCCTCTTCGTCGGCCATGTCTACTTCTGGCTGCAGCTCTTTCTCTCCTGGAGGATGAAGAGCCTGCCCCAGCCGGGGGCCCCGTGGATCGGGCCGCTCCGTCTGCTCCTCTGCAGCCTCTGCACCGTCCTCTTGGTGACCAGTATCCTTCAGGGGCGGGGCTTGGGGTGGTTCTTCATGGGGAGGCGGGGTTTGCTGTGTGCTAGTGTGGATGTTCCCGTCATAGGACAGTCATCAGAGAGTGCCGACCGGGGGACCACGCTGCCTGGGTTGCAACCCCACCTTGTCCACACACAGCTGGGGGAGGCTCCGCTGGTTTTTGGCCTCGGTTTCCTCATCTGTCAAATGCAGAGCCAGCCCCAGGGTTGGAAGGAATGAAGCTGATACATGTGAGGTGCTTGGATCGGTGCCTGGTGCATAGCGAGGGACCAGTTAATACTGGGAGGCTGCTAAACCGATCATTTGGGGGTGCCCGCTCTGGGCCCGGCATCTGCTGGCTAAGACTGGAAACTGAGGTTCAGACAGGAGGAGTCTCTTGGCCAAGACCCAGCCTGGAGTTCAGGGGTGGAGCGAGTGTTGGGCTTCAGGCCCCTGGCAGGGACGCTCCAGGGCAGTGAGTCGCTTTGAATGGCGGTGGTGGGCGTATTTACACCACAGGAAGCGGCAGCTGCTACAAATCAGAGCTGGTTGTCAGGCATTTACCAACACGCCACTAGGTGGCACCTCGATTCCAACTCACTTCTGAGTCACCCCGGAACCCAGCCCAGCAGGCCTCTGGCTGAGTCACAGCACTCTCTGCACCTCAGTTTCCTTGTCCGTAAGATGGAGTTGTTGTTGTTTTTATCAGGCTGATGGTTGTCACTGCCAGGAAGAGAGCTCTGAGAGAGGCAGGCGGGGTGCAGACTGGGCCTGCGGGCCTCTGTGGGGAGGATGATGGAAGGGAGGCCGAGAGGGCCCGGAGGGCCCCAGCTGAGGCTGGGTGCCGGCTGCATGAAGTTGATCCGTTCGTTTTTCCGGAGCAGCAGCCTGGTTTGCCTGGAGTAGGTGGGAAAGGGCTGCTCCAGCTGCAAACCAGCCGCTCGCCCCGGCTGGGCCCTGTCGGTGCTGAGATCCCCAATCGGCTGGTGCTCAGTTTGGTGACAGGATCCTCATTCTGTGAGGCTCGGACGTCCCCTCAGCTGCAGGGGAGCAGGATGGACCATGAGGATGGCCCGCTGAGTGTGCTAAGGGTGGGTGGGACATCTGCAAAGATGGCTCTCAGAGCTTGCAGATGCTTTAAAATATATATATATATTTCAGAGAGGAAGGGAGAGAGATAGAAACATCAACGATGAGAATCATTGATTGGCTGCCTCCTGCACGCCCCACACTGGGGATCAAGCCCGCAACCCGTGCTTGTGCTCTGACCGGGAATCGAACCGTGACCTCCTGGTTCATAGGTCCACGCTTAACCACGGAGCCACTGGAGCCAGGCTGGGGGGGGGGGGGTGTATCTTTAGGAAACGCTGCATATGTGGAGGTAGAAGCAAGGTGCCTGGCTGTCTGCCTGGGCAAGTGGGGGATGGTGGAGCCTTTGTGGGCTCAGCGAGGCTGACGGGAGCTAAGACCCTTGTTCCAGAATATTGAGGGCTCCCTTCGAACAGCAGGGACCCGCCTGGGAAAATATTTGGGAAACAGTTTGAGAGGCAGGCAGGACTGGAGGGCACCCCTTGGCGAGTGTCTGGGTGCCACCGAGGAGGGTGGCGCGGCCTCGCCTGCCCGGTCTGGGGGCACCAGGGGCGCCAGGGCCCTTCTCGTGGCGGAGTGCCCTTGACCCTGGTGCACAGTGGTCATCCTCCACACCAGCCTGCAGCGCTCCGCCGCCGCCGTCTGCGAGTGGGCCGTGGCCATGCTGCTCTTCCTGCTCTTCGGCCTCCTGGCCGTGGACTTCTCCGGCCTGGAGGGCTGCACCCTGTGTCTCCGGCCTGGGCCCAGCCTCAGCCTGCAGCCCGCCTCCCCCGTCTCCCTGCAGACCTCACCGCTGCCGCTGGCCCAGGCACTCTGACCCCGGCCTGGCCCTCCCGGCAGAGGACAGAGACCAGTCCCGGACTCCTCCGTGCCCCCAAGATGCATCGCTGGGGACGAACCTTCAGGGGTGAACCGTTGGGATGGACTTTAAAGAACTTGCCAGGCGCCGGCCGGTGTTTCTCAATGGTTAGAGCGCTGGCCCACGGACCCAAGGGTTGCCGGTTTGATTCCGATCAAGGCCATGAACCTGGGCTGCAGGTTGGATGCCTGGCCCCGGTTGGGCGAGTGTGAGAGGCAACTGGTCGATGTGTCTCTCTCACGTCGATGTTTCGCTCTCTCTCTCTCCCCGCTCCCTTCCACTCTACGTAAAAGCAATGGAGAAATATCCTCGGGTGAAGACTGCCAACAACAAAAGAGAATGTGCCATGGCTGCCCGGCCTGGGACCTAGTGGTGCACACGCGGGGCCTGGCTCCGAACAGCTGCTGGGCTGGCACCTCCCTGCCCGTCCGCCCCTGCCCTGCAGCCCCGCCCCCGCCATCGGGGCCGCCCAGGAAGCGAGAGGCCAAGGCCAGCCAGCCGTCCCTGATCAAGGCTATTTATTGTTGTTATTATTAATTTTTTTTTTTTTTTTGCCGCCGGCGGAATCAGAGACACGGACGCAGGCAGGATCACGCGAAACCAGAATTCCTTCCGGAGAGCAAATCCGTACAGAAGGTCGTGGGGGAGGGGGAGGGCCAGGGGAGGGGGGGCCCAGGAAGGGGGAGTTGGGGATGACACAAGGACAGATGGCCCTGTCCGTCCGGATCTGCTAAGCCACCCCAACCAGCCCCCGTCCCTCCCCCGCCCCATCCCGCAGAGAGGTTGATCAATAAATAAATTAATAATAAATTAATCAATAAATAAAATAGAAACAGCTCCCACCCCCTGGACCCCCCTCCCCCAGAACCACCCCTCCCCGTTGGGCACGGCCCCTGGAGCCCCATCCCTGCAGGGCGAGGCTGGGTTGGTTGTATCTCCCCCTCCCTATGTACTCCTTGGGCCCTATTTACAGATTCACAGTTGGGGGGGCAGGGAAGGGGGGTGGAGGGGGCTCCCCTCCTTCCCCGGCCCCCTGGGGTCAGGGCAGAGGGGTCCCGTTGGTGGCCAGGAGCTTCTTGTCCTTGGGGGGGCCTCGGCGGGGAGAGCTGGTCAGCTCCGGGTCTGGGCGGCCGGGCGGGGGCTGCAGGCTTCGGGGCGGGGTGCTGGCAGGCCGGGTCTGCGCCCCGTTCTTCTCGTCTGTCGGGGAGGAAGCGGTTTGCCATCCAGGGTCTCAGCAGCCCAAGGCCGGCCGGGCCGACTCCAGCATCGTGCGGAGGCCCGAGCCCCCAACACGGGTGCTAGGGGGGCTCACGCCAGCAGCCAGGCCTGCCAACCCTAGAACGGGTCGTGCGTCCGGACCCCCTCCAGCCCTCGTGGCCTTGGAGACCTGGGGGTACATCCTCAGAGACTGGATGGGACACTGGTGTGTGACCACAGAGAAGGTTCGAGCACCCCAGGTCACAGCCAGAGGGTCCCCCTTCCCTTCCACTGCCCTGGTGGTTAGGGGGGACGCTGCTTGGTCATGGGGTTTGGAGCCCCTACCACAGGTTGTTTGGGGGTCTCAGGCCCCCCCAGGCGGGCTTGCCTGACTGGGGTCACCCCTTTGTGGGGCCACACTTCTCCAGACTCGCAGTTTCTATAGGGCCCAGACAGTGCCTGATGTCCCTTAGCAGGGACCGGCCCCCATAAAAGTCACAGATTGTTGGGTATTGTTGTCATAGCAACCAGGATGGCTCTCCCGTTCGGCAGACGGGGGGGTCACCCCCTGCCCCATTCCTCTTTATAAGATGCCGGGCTAAGCCCCCAGGTGCCTGTTGGTCCTTCCTCTTTGAGGGTGTGCCCTTTGGGGAACCCTGGTTGCTAAGGTCAGCTTTCCTTAGCAACCGGGTCTAGCAGGGTTCAGGGGGCCTGGCCTGGATTCTGGTCACCCCAGGCAACCAGGCCTGGTGGGGACTCCTGGAGCAGGCTTGCTCCACGCCCCAAGAGGTCAGAACGCCTTGCTGTGGGGGTGTCCAGTGCACCCTGCACCCCCATTCCCCCAAGATGGACACAAGCAGAAAGGTCTCCAGACATTGCCAGTGTCCCCGGATGTCCCCTCCCAAGGTGTCCAGCTCCTCGTGCTGAGAACGGGGACCATGTTACACTACAAGGCACAGGGGACGCCGGCTGTGACTGAGGCCGAAGCCCAGCGGTGGCCGGTTCTTCTGGATCGTCTGGGCGGAGCCTTGAAGGAACCTTCCCCAGGTGAGGGCAGCGTCCGGGGAACATGTGCCCTTCAGGGAGGTGGTCCGTCACCAGCTGTGCAGAGGGACCGTGAGCGAAGGAACTCGGGCCTGTGGCCTCTGGGAAGGCGGAACGGATACCCCGGCCCCCAGCCTCCAGGAGGGAGCCTGGCCTGGCCCTCCAGACACCTTGAGAGTCGCCCCTTTGGTTCTGACCTTGGGGAACGGTTCTGACCTTCGGGAAACAGGCCCCAGGCAGACGTGACCCTGGGCTTTGGCCTTCGGTGACAAGGCCACGCAGGCGTCTGCCCCCTTGGCTGGGGTCCTGTCTACCTGCTGTTTCTCCCTAGGCCAGTGACGGTGAACCTTTTGAGCTCAGCGTGTCAGCATTTTGAAAAACCCTAACTTAACCCTGGTGCTGTGTCACCTATAGAAATTTTTTGATATTTGCAACCATAGCAAAACAAAGACTTATATTTTTATATTTATTTTATATATTTAAATGCCAGTTAACAAAGAAAAATCAACCAAAAAAATGAGTTCGCCTCTGACACGCATGTCATAGGTTTGCCATCGCTGGACTAGGGCCTCAGGACCCCATTCCCACCTATCTCAGGAGGGGGGCTGAGCAGGGCTGTCTTGACTGAGGAACTGTGGTGGCCCCTGGTTGCTAGGGAATTCCGCTCCCTGACAACAAGGCTAGCCTCCAGGGAGCCCCGCCCCCTGGGGCGCAGAACACAAGCTCCCCGGTGAGGCCCGTGCCTGGACAGGGAACCCCCTCGCAGGTCTGCGGGTGAGGCCTCAACGGGATGACAGGCGGGCCTCGCTTCCCCCCAGCTGGTCTCGCCTGGAAACCAAAGGCTGCAGCCCATGGTCGCTGGGAGTCTGCCCTCCGCCCCACCGGGGACAGAAGACGGACAGACAGCCGGCACCCGCCATGGCCCGCACCCACCTGCCAAGGCCTGCACGGAGGGCTGGTCGTGAGTGCTCAGCAGCTGTGCCTGGATGGTCTCCACCACTCGCTTGAACCGACGGCTGGGACCTGGGAAGGGGCCGGGAAACAATGCCGTGGGGACTGCCAGGGGCAGGGCCGGGAAGGCCTCCCGCCCTGTGGAAGCCGGTCCCTCCACCCAGGACTCTCCTTGTGGCCTCAGTTCCAGCTCGTCTCCTGGGGCCAGGCACCGACCATGGTTTGCAAGTGGAGCTAAGAAAAGTTGGACTTGCAGTAGCCATGGGTGCTGTTTTCTATTTAAATGGGGTTTTATTCCTCGTCAGTTTCTGCGGGAGGCCATGAGAGCCAGAAATGTAAGAAAAATCACTGAGAAGGAAAAAAATCTTAAACTTCTGCCTATTCGTCTTTTTTATTTAAAAGATTTTAAACTCGCCCTAGCCAGTTTGGCTCAGTGGATAGAGCGTCGGCCTGAAGACTGAAAGGTCCCGGGTTCTATTCTGGTCAGGGGCACATGCCCGGGTTGCGGGCTGGATCCCTAGTAGGCAGCATGCAGGAGGCAGCCAATCCATGATTCTCTCTCATCACTGATGTTTCTATCTCTCGCTCCTTCTCCCTTCCTCTCTGAAATCAATAAAAATACAGTGGGGCCTTGACTTACGAGTGTCCCGGCTAACGAGTTTTTTGAGATACCAGCTGTCTCTGGCCGATTTTTTGCATTGAGTTGATAGAGTAATTTGAGTTAACGAGCTCCTTAACGAGGTCGGTCTCGGAATGAATTAAACTCCTAACTCAAGGCCCCACTGTAGATGAAAGAAAGGAAGGAAGGAAGGAAGGAAGGAAGGAAGGAAGGAAGGAAGGAAGGAAGGAAGGAAGGAAAGGGGAAAGGAGACCTGGCCAGTGTGGCTCAGTTGGTTGAGCATCGCCCCATGCACCAAATGATCACCAGTTCAGTTCCTGGTCAGGGCACATGCCCAGGCTGGAGGCTTGATCCCCAGGAGGGGAGGTGCAGGAGACAGCCAATCGATGCCTCTCTCTCACATTGATGTTCTTCTCCCTCTCCCTTCCTCTCTCTCTAAAATCAGTAAACATGTTACAGAAAGGCGGGGAGGGGAGGAGAGGGTGTGGGGGTCTGAGTGAGGAGGGGCTCACAGGTCAGGCCCGGCTGAGCACTGTCCTCCTCCCTCAGGCCGCCCTCCTGGGCTGCTATCCTATCTCAGCCGTCCTGAGCATCCCAAACACCAGGCTGGGTGGGGGCAGCCTCGTCCAGGGAAACCTACCGGAGAGGAGAGTGAAGGTGACAGAGTAGACGCCACCTCCGCCGCCGCCGCCATCCCGCCGCGGGGAGGGCTCTGGTCCCTCAGAGGAGCTGATGTCCACCTGGAAGCGGACGGGCTTCTGGAAGACGGAGGGGCCACCGCTGGCCTTGTACTCGGCCCTGAAGCTGGTCTGTGACAGCACGCTGTGACTCAGGCTGGGGATCTGAGAGAGACGTGGGGAGCACAAGGAGGAGGTGACCCCCGGGACCTGGTTGCAGGGAATGGATAAGAGCCCCTACAGCGAGCGGCCTTTGCCCAAGGAACTACAAGTCCCATCAGACACTGGAGCAAAAGTAGTATAAGGAAAGGCATCAGAATGCCCCATTGCCTGCTGGGATTTGTAGTTTTCCATCCTACCATGACTAGGTTGTATAGGGATGAATGGCTGAGCGACTGATTCTTAACGTAATAATAGGGGAATGTCAACTCACCAGTCCTCAGGGGACACTGATATGTGGAGAATTGTAATTCATGATCCTATTTCACCATTTCCAGGCCCCAGGACACAAGTGTCTCCTGTCTCCCTCACCCAACAATGACCCAACCCAACTCTGGCTGAAAAACTACAAATCCCATGAACCTCAGGGAGGAGTCAGGCTAGGGCCAAGGTGGTGAACCCCAGGGGCTGCTGTGGTTCTGAGGTGTCCAGCGTGCGTGGGTGCGTGCGCGCGTGCGTGGGGACCCAGACCCCTCACCGACAGGAAGGCATGGACGATGTCCGCTTTGATGCTACTGAGAGGTTTGTCCTTTAGCACGAGAAAAATTTGTTCTTCTTTGTCCAAGGAGATGAAGTTCCCGAACCAGGAGCGTTTTGCCAGCCTGAATAAGAGGGGATGGTTGGAGGCGGGTCAGGAGGGGGCTGAGGACATGAAAAACCTCCCTCCCTCCCTTCCCAGTCTCACTCACTCTGGAGAGGACTCCGGCGTCAAACTGGACATCTCCTCGGCGGTGGGCACTGGGGAGGGGAGAGCATGGTCGATACTTGTCCACCATCCTCGTGAGCAGCGCAACCAGGGGGTCCAGACCCAGTGTCCATTCGCCCCGCCCAGAAGCAAACCCCAAATGGCAAGCAGCCTAAGTAAGGTTCCTTCTAGGAATGAAGCCCGGCCCATTAGGCCACGCCCCTGCGGGTGGGGCTTGCTTGTCATATGCCAATGGGAAGGTGATCCAGAGCGCCGAGTGGGCGTGTCTTTCAGAGGGGGCGGGCCCACTTCCTCTACCCAACGCTTGCATCTCTGCTCACAACCGCATCTTAACCCAGGATGTGGCAATCCGGGCCCCAGCCCCTTGCTCCCGGGACCCAGATGTTAGCCCCAGGTCGCCTTCCTCCATTGGATTCAGGAGCCTGACCCCCGGCCCCTGCGCCACCAGGGACCCCGTACCCTGCATCTTGCGCCGGTGGAAACGAGGGGAGCCCAGGAAGCTGTTGCGGATGGAGTTGAGACGACTCCTCCAGGCGGCTCCCCCGACACCACCGCCTGGGCTTGGAGGCGGCGTCGTACCCGGGGTCCCGGTGGGGCTGGCCCGGGGAGTGTGCAGAGGCGAGTGCAAGGGGGTGCCCCCGGAGGAACGTGGGGAGCCTGGGGGTCCAGGCAGGGGAGTGGAGCGGGCACTGGGGGGTGGGGGCTGCTCCCCGGCGCCCCCACCCCTGGGGCCTCGAGAAGGCAGCGTCTGCGTTTTGGAAGTCGGGGAGCCTCCTCCCCGAGCCTCATCTCCAGCCCCAGGCTCCGGTGAGAAGGAAAAGACCGGACTCTGCGAAGGAGAGGAAGAGGGTGAGGCTGGACTACAACTCCCAGTAGGCTCTAAGCGCCCCACTCACACATACTCAGGCAGGAGGGCCCGATGCATGCTGGACCTTGTAGTCCTATTATCCCCCCTCCCCCAATGTTAGGGAAGCAAGGATTTTTCCTGTCATGTTCACAGCTGCAAAACCAGCAGTGACTGGTGCACAGTCGGCGCTCAATTAGCTTCTGTTAGAGTAAAGGAACCCTTCTGGGACACTGTAAAAAGCCAACTCTATGAAGGTGCAAGTGGCCAATGACTGTACTAAAATACTAATGAGAAAAAAATAAAATAAAACACTAATGAGGTCTTGGGTCTTTAGCCCTTTGGGGACAAGGAGGCAACAGATGTCTCTAGACTTGATGCGATTGTAGTTCCTGCTGCTGATCTTTGCTCGACAGGGCCTTCACCCCCTTACCCCTCCTCCCTTCACTGGGGTCTGGCCTTACCCGCGGACTGCTCAGAGGACTGGAGGACAGGCCGGTGGAGGCTCCACTGACGCTACGGGATCTGTTTCCAGGATAAATTGTTAAAAATCAGGAGGGAAAGGTTTCAAAAGGCTCAGCGGTTCCCTCCCTTCCACACTCCTTCAAGATAAGGAACTGAGGCCCAGAGAGGGCAGGTGACTTGGCCCAATCACACAGCACCTTGGAGGGTGGCGCTGGAATTAAAACCTTGACCTCTCTTCCCACCCAGGACTGGGGGTCCCACTGCAGGGGCAGGGTTCCCACCTCTGACTGTGCTGGGCCATCTCCAGGGCCCGCCGGGTGGGCACCGGGGAGCCGCCGCCGCCCGCATCCGTGATGCTCAGGACTTCCATGGACTTCCGCTCTGGCCGCCGCTTCCCGTGCCGGCTTAGCATGGGGGAGTCCACTCGCTTCCGAGGGGGGTCTGGGGGAGATCGAAAGACCGATTTGTGCCCTAAATAGTTTGGTTCAGTGGATAGAACATCGGCCTGCGGACTGAAGGGTCCCGGGTCCAATTCCGGTCAAAGGCACATGCCAGGGTAGCGGGCTCAGTCCCCAGTAGGGGGCGTGCAGGAGGCAGCCAATCAATGATTCTCTCATCACTGATGTTTCTCTCTCTCTTCCTCTCTGAAATCAATAAAATATATTATTTTTAAAAAAAGAATCTCTAGGGTCATGCTCAGGAGCTTGCATTTGAAAAAAAGAAAAAGACTGATTTGTCCAATTGTACGTGGCACTCAGACAAACGGGAAACTGAGGCCCGTGTAGAGAGAGGTTTTGACAGCTCAGGTCCTGCAGCCCCACCCCACCTCGGGAATCTGGGGCCCGGAGTCCCAGCCCTGCCTTCTCACCAACATCATTGCGGGGAGGCAGGTCCTGGTCCTCACAGCTGGGGTACCGCTCCTTCCGGTCCAAAAGCAGGTAGTAGATCATCTTTTCTTGGTTCTCCCTGTGGGGGGCAGGAGATGACTGGGGTCAGAGGTCAGGCTCCAGAGGTGGTCTCAGCCCCTCCCTGCAGCGGTGGTTCTCTGGGGGCTCAGTCCACCCAGCATCTCTATGTACAGTTCCATTTTCCTAGGTATCAACATGGTGGGTTCCTTGGTCTTGGTGTACAGCTCGGTCTCACTTTCCTCAAAAATAATAATATTATCTAACATTTGAACATGTACTCTAGGTAAGTACTTTGGGAGGCACCCTCTAAATCTGTCTCAACAGCCCTCGCTGTTTTGGTTCAGTGGATAGAGCGTCAGACTGTGGACTGAAGGGTCCTGGGTTCAGTTCCAGTCAAGGGCATGTGCCTGGGTTACAGCCTCAATCCCCTGCCCTGGTCCACCTCAGAGGGAGGCAACCAATCAATGTGTTTCTCTTACATTGATGTTTCTCTCTGTCTCTCCCCTTCCCTTCCACTCTCTCTAAAAAATAAATGGAAAAATGTCTTCGGGTGAGGATCAAAAAGTAATGATAAAATAAAATTAGGGCATTAAATAAAATAATAAATCTGGCCCTGGCTGGCCTGCAACCGGGTTCGACTCTGGTCAAGGGCACATGTATGGGCTCAATCCCCAGTTGGGGCGTGCAGGAGGCAGCCAATCCATGATTCTCTCTAATCATTGATATTTCTCTCTCTCTCTCCCTCTCCCTTCCTCTGAAGTGAGTGAAAATATATATTTTTTTAAAAAAATAATAAATCTGTCTCAGTATCTATTAATAATGCTTTTCAGCTTCGGTTCTGCCTTTTCCTTGCTGGTTCTACTGCCCCCTTGTGGTTCCTCCGGGACAGGTCCACGCGGGAGCTTCAAGCCACCTGGTCCAGGAGAGTCTGCGCATGCGCGAGGCTGGACGCGCCCCCAGCGGGCAGTCCCGGGAGCCAAGGCAGTTCCCCACCCTCCGTGGGCCGCGGGTCTGTGCTGCCCGCGGGGTGCCTTACTCCTCGCTGCGCAGCTCGCGGTGCAGCCGCTCCCGGTCCCTGAAGCAGCCCAGCGAAGCCATGCTCTCCAGGACGTCGGGGTCCAGCTCCCCGTTGGACGGCAGGCTCCGCATGGCCACCCTGCGGCCTGGGGTCGGCTCCAAGCACGGATCCGGCTCATGCTTCCCACCCCTGGGCGGGGAGAAACAGCAGAGGGAGTCCGGACTCGAACTCGCTTCTTCACCCGAGCCTCAGCGGTCCTGGGTCCCAGTCTGCGCCTTTCCGGGGGAACCCAGGAGTACTGCCCCCCACCCTCCTGCAGACCCAGGGGGCTGGACCCCAGCGCCTCCACCCGTGTCTTCTCCCCTAGGACCCAGGGGTCCAGGTACCGTGGCCCCTCCTCATTCAGGATCCGCGGCATCCCACCCCCTGGCCGGCACTGGCTCTCCTGCTTGGGGGGCCTTTGATATTCGGGCCCCTCTCCCTTCCTTCCCCAGGGACCCAGGGGTCCAGCCCCCCCATACTCACAGGTACCAAGGATGTTTCTGAATCTGCTCCAGCTGTGGGGGATGGGGGGGGGGTTGTAGAGAAGCAGAATTGAGGTCATATGATCACAATTGGAAGCCATGACTGTTGACGGGGTGGGGATGGGGGGTCCCTAACGGTGCCCCCTACTCTCCCATCACCAAGGGCGGGATGACGGCTTATGTCTCCCCCAAGTGGCCAGTGAGCGTATTGCCTCGCGCAGGCGCAATCCGAGTCTTATGGATCTGCCAGGCTACATGGCCGCATGCGCAGTGGCATCCCCTTTTTGGAGTGACTGGGGGCTCACCCAGGGCCCCCCCTCCCCAGCTGACACCCAAGGGACAGACAGGCCAGCCCTGGACTCCCCTAGGGAGCCCGACCAACGTGGCGATGAGCCAGGAGGTCACGGTTCGATTCCCAGTCGGGGGCACCTGCCCGGGTTGCGGGCTCGGTCCCCAGTGTGGGGTGTGCAAGAGGCAGCCGATCTGTGATTCTCTCTCATCATGGATGTTTCTATCACTCTCTCCCTCTCCCTTCCTTTCTGAAATCAATAAAAATACATTTTTTTAAAAAATAGATTGCCCTAGGGCAGTGGTTCTCAACCTTCCTCACGCCGCGACCCTTTCATACAGCTCCTCATGTTGTGGTGACCCCCAACCATAAAATCATTTTCGTTGCTACTTCATCACTGTCATTTTGCTACTGTGATGAATCGTCATGTAAATATCTGATATGCAGGATGTATTTTCATTGTTACAAACTGAACATAATTAAAGCATAGTGATTAATCACAAAAACAATATGTAATTATATATGTGTCTTCCGATGGTCTTAGGCGACCCCTGTGAAAGGATCGACCGACCCCCAGATGGGTCGCGACCCACAGGTTGAGAACCACTGCCCTAGGGTTTCTGTCCTCATCACCCATTGTCCCGTGCCCTGTCCCCATCCCGCCCCCCCCCCCCCCCAACTCACACTGAGCCTCTTCTCGGGCTCCACCTCGATCATGCCCCGCAGGAGGCTCTGGCAGTCCGGCGGGATGAAGTGGGGCATGTGGAAGACACCCCGTTTCACCTTCTCCAGCAGCTGGCGGAGGTTGTCATCATCGAAGGGCAGAGCCCCCTGGGGGACAAGTGACCGGCCGCTGTCCCAAGCCGTCCAAGGGCTCCTGGCTGCCCCATCCCACTCGGGGACCTCCTGGGCCGTCCCACACTTCTGGGGCTGAAGGGTTAGCTCCGGGATCTCGGTCGACTGGCGAACACCCCTCACACCTTCCTGATATCAGTTAACTGTTTGGGAGAGGGACCTCTGAACCAGGAGGTCTCGGTTCGGTTCCCGGTCAGGGTACATGCCCGGGTGGCGGGCTCGATTCCCAGTGTGGGGCGTGCAGGAGGCAGCCGATCCATCATTCCCTCTCATCATCGATGTTTCTCTCTCTCTCCCTCTCCCTTCATCTCTGAAATTAATTTAAAAAAATAAAAATTTAAAAAATGGACACCAGCTTAAAAGAAAAAAAAAAGGCGACAAACCCTGGGGTGAGAACGGAGCTTTGGGTCCCGAGCTCCCTCCCCCAGGCGGGTTGCTCTGGAGCCGGGCAGGAGCGGGGAGGGGCGCCTTACCACCAGCAGGGCGAAGAGGATGACCCCGCAGCTCCACATGTCCGCCCTGCGGCCGTCGTACTTCTCCCCCTGGACGGGAGGGAGCAGGACCCGCGTGACCATCACACCCATCTCCACCAGCTTCACCCCCCCCACACACCCCCACGTGCTCCACACTCACCTTAATCACCTCCGGACACGCATAGTGCGGGGACCTGAGGGAGAGACGGGGGTGGGGGGGCGGGGTGAGCCTCAGCCCCGTCTCAGCCCGCCCCGGGCCCAGGCGGCCGCCGGACTCACCCGCAGCTCGTCTCCAGGAGGCTGTCCCCCACCTGCAGGGACGCCATGCCGAAGTCCGCGATGCGGATGTTGTTCTTCTCGTCCAGCAGCAGGTTCTCCGGCTTCAGGTCTCTGTGGCTGAGACAGGCGGGTGGGCGGTGCTCAGCTCAGAGGGGGCAGGGCTTAGCTCAGAGGGGGCGGGGCTTGGCTCAGAGGGGGCAGGGCTCAGCTCAGAGGGGGCGGGGCTTGGCTCAGAGGGGGCGGGACTCGGCTCAGATGGGCGGTGCTCGGCTCAGAGGGGGCAGGGCTCTGCTCAGTGGGGGCGGGACTCGGCTCAGAGGGGGCGGTGCTTGGATCAGAGGGGCGGGGCTCGGCTCAGAGGGGCGGGGCTCGGCACAGAGGGGGCGGGGCTCGGCTCAGAGGGGCAGGGCTCAGCACAGAGTGGGCGGAACTTGGTTCAGAAGGGGCGGGCTCAGCGCAGAGGAGGTGGGGCTCAGTTCAGAGGGGCGGGGCTCAGCGCAGAGGGGCGGGGCTGGCAGCCTGGATGATAGACAATTTCAGGCAGGTCCCATCCCCCGGCTTCCCCTTTATGAACTCGGGGCGAATCTCCCCTCCACACCCTCACGACCTTCTCCCACTGAATTATTTTTGCGAGAGACCCCAGATATCATATTACTGTTCCTACAAATATTTGAATATGTAGGAAGTGAGAGGGTTTTTTTTAAAAAATAATTTCTAGCACTAGGTGGTTTGGCTCAGTGGATAGAGTGTCTTCGGCCTGAAGGGTCCTGGGTTCGATTCCCGCCAGTGGCGCATGCCCAGGTTGCGGGCTCCATCCCCAGTAGGGGGCGTTCGGGAGGCAGCCGATCAATGATTCCCTCTCATCATTGATGTTTCTATTTCTCTCTCCCTTCCGCTCTGAAATCAATAAAAATATATTAAAGATAATTTTTATTTTTAATTTATTTTTACATATTTTTTTAATCCTCCCTTGAGAATATTTTTCCATTGATTTTTAGGGAGAGTGGAAGAGAGAGGGAACGACAGAGAGAAACATGGATGGGAGAGAAACACATTGATTGGTTGCCTCCTGCACGAACCCCAATCAGGGCCCTGGTCCAGAGAGGAGCCTGCAACCAAGGTACGTGCCCTTGACCGGAATCGAACCCGGGACCCTTTGGTCCGCAGGCCGACGCTCTATCTCTGAGCCAAACCGGCCAGGGCTGGAAACCTTGATTACTGACAATTTCATGCATGCCCCAAGGTAGAGCGAATATAGGGGAGCCCCTGTGCCTCCCCATCCCCCGGCTTCCCCGTTATGAACTCAGGGCGAGTCTCTCGTCCACACCCCTCCATATGCTTTCCCTCGCCCACTGGATTAGTTTGTGAGCAACCCCAGAGGTCATATGACTTTACCCACAAATATTTGAATACGTATAAAGTGAGAGTGTTTTGGGTTAGGTAAGCAGGGCTGATATTGAGCTAGCTCTTTAAATATTAAAATTATTTCCCTACTGAATAATAAAAGAAATACTGCCACCTCAGGCTTGGGACAAACTCCCTCCCTTCTCCCAGGTCAAACGGCTCAGGATTGAAGGGTTTAATGTCTAAGGGGAGGTGGGGCCCGAGGATTCCACAGTTTCAGTTGAAAGCGGTAACTGGGTCATACTGGCTGTTACATGTATTGCTACCGTCCCCTAGAGGTCAGTGTTTTTAATGTCAGGGTTTTGACAGTCTTGTCAATAGGGAGGTGTTGACAGTTTAAATGGGCTGCCTTTTATCACCCAGCTGAGGCCCTCCACTCCACCTCCAACCCCATCCCAGAGAGGGAGGGGTGCAAACAGAGGTTGAAAGACGAGCTGAAGGCATCCTTTTTTGCCCTGTCATTAATCATAAAAATGCCGCCTGTTGCCCTCACCCAGTGGTCGGCAAACTCATTAGTCAACAGAGCCAAATATCAACAGTACAACGACTGAAATTTCTTTGAGAGCCAAATTTTTTAAACTTAAACTATCTAGGTAGGTACATTGTTATTAACTTAATCAGGGTGCTCCTAAACTGGCCTTTGCTAAAAACGTCCTCAATCTGATTGAGGTACGTTCGCTGAGGTCGACCCCTTCCAACTCTCCCATCCACACTCGTCTTGTAGACTTGTTTCAGATAGAGGAGTGTGGATGGGAGAGATGGAAGGGGTCGACCTCAGCGAACGTACCTCAAAACAATGTACCTCCCCCGCGCCGTGTCTCCCGTCGCCCCACCAACCGACACCCCCCACTTCTTCTAACGCCACTTCTTCAAAATAGACTCGCCCAGGCCGAAAACCAACTTCTGCGCATGGGCCACGAAGTTTCAATCGCACTGTATATGCGCGCTCGCATGTGGTATTTTGTGGAAGAGCCACACTCAAGGGGCCAAAGAGCCGCATGTGGCTCGTGAGCCACGGTTTGCCGACCACTGCCCTAACCGGTTTGGCTCAGCGGATAGAGAGAAAGACAGAGAGAAATATCGATGTGAGAGAGACACATCCATTGGTTGCCTCCTGCATGAGCCCTGACCAGGGCCCGGGCTGGGGAGGAGCCTGCAACTGAGGTAGAAACAAACCTTAGACCTTTCAGTCTGCAGGTCCAGGCTCTATCCACTGAGCCAAACCAGCTAGGACTGAGCATGTCTTTTGCAAAAGAAAGAAAGAAAAAGAGAAGATCCTACAATGAGATAGTGGTAATTGTTAGATTGTACAACTCTGAATATAATAAAAACCACTGGATTGTACATTTTAAAAAGGTGGATTTTATAGTATGTGAATTATATCTCAATAAAGCTGTTATTTAAAAAAAAAAAAGTCAGCCGTAACCGATTTGGCTCAGTGGATAGAGCGTCAGCCTGCGGACTGAAAGGTCCCGGGTTCGATTCCAGTCAAGGGCATGTACCCGGGTTGCAGGCACATCTCCAGTAGGGAGTGTGCAGGAGGCAGCTGATCGATGTTTCTCTCTCATTGATGTTTCTAACTATCTCTCTCCCTTCCTCTCTGTAAAAAATCAATAAAATATATTTTAAAAAAAGTCAGATGTTGGCAAGGATGTAGAGAGACTGGAACCCTCAGAGGCTGCTGGCAAGGATGTGGGATGGTGCAGCTGCTTCAAAGACGGTCTGGCACCTCCTCAAAGGCTAAACAGTACCATATAACCCAACAATGCCAATCCTAGGCAATGCACCCAAGAGAGCTGAAAACATAGGCACACGCCGAAACCTGGACACACGAACGTCCATGCTATTCATCACAGCCCCAAAGGAGAACAACCAACATGTCCCTCCACGGTGGTGGATAAACAAAGATGGCAACACCACACAGTGGAATATTACTCAGCCATGAAAAAGAATGGCGCCGGCTACAACATCTAGGACACTTGAACATGTTTTGCTCAGTGAAAGGAGCCAGTCTCTAAAGACAAGCCTACAGTAGGATTCTATTTCTTTTCTTTTTCATCCTCACCTGAAGATATTTTTTCTATTGATTTTTAGAAAGAGTGGAAGGGGGAGGGAGAGACAGAAACACTGATGTGAGAGAGACACAGCGATTGGTTGCCTCCCTCATGCCCCCAACCAGGGCGGGGAGCCTTCAACCCAGGTATGTGCCCTTCACCGGAATCGAACCCGGGACCCTTCAGTCCATAGGCAGACACTCTATCCACTGAGCCAAACTGGCTAGGGCTTCTTTTCCTTTTATTTGTTGTTAATCTTCACCCGAGGATATAATTTCCATTGATTTTTAGAGACAGTAGAAGGAAGGGAGAGGGGAGAGAGTGTGAGAGAGATATCGATTAGTTGCCTCCCACCCAAACCCGCCGGACCATGATGCAGGGCCCGAACCTGCAACCCAGGTACCTGCCCTTGACGGAAATCGAACCCGCGACCCTGAGCCACTCCAGCCAGGGCCAGCAGGATTCTGTTTCTATGAAAGGTCCGGAAGGTGAATCCCTAGACACCGCAAGCAGATGAGTGGCCGTGCCCCTCACCAGATGGAGTAGCTGTGGCAGAAGTCCAGCGCTGACACGATCTGGCGGAAGAACTTCCGGGCCTCCTTGGGGGTCAGTCTCCCCTTCTTTACCAGGTAGTCAAACAGCTCACCTCCAGAGACATGCTCCAGAACCAGGTACCTGCGGGACACGGAGGGGGCGGAGGGCTGGAGGGGGCATGCGGAGAACCAAAGAGCCTGGTCCCCTCAATCCCACTGGCCCCTGCAGGCAGGGAACCCCAATTCCCATGAGTCCCTGGAAGGAGGAGGAGGAGGAGGAGGAGGAGGAGGAGGAGGAGGAGGAGGAGGAGGAGGAGGAGGAGGAGGAGGAGGAGGAGGAGGAGGAGGAGGAGGAGGAGGAGGAGGAGGAGGAGGAGGAGGAGGAGGAGGAGGAGGAGACTCAAATTCCCATGGGTCCCTGGGAGGCAGGGCTTCCAATTCCCATCAACCCTTGGTAGAGACTCCAATTCCCATCAGCCCCTGAGTGGAAGAGACCCTAGTTCCCATCAGCCTTTGGGAAACCAAAATTCAATTGCCATCAACCCAGGGCAGCAGACACGCCTATGTCAACATCGGGAGTATTAACACTTCGATTCTTAGTTGTTTCAGGAGATAAGGCAACTTGGAGGGCGGAGACCCCACCCCCAATTATGATAGGATTCTGGGAAATAAAGACCCCTCCACGGCCACATACTCATTAGTCCCTGGAAAGCCATGCCTCTTACTCCCGGAGACTCTAGGATGAAGAAACTCAAATTCTCACTAATTCTTGGCAATAATGATGGATGGCAGTGTGCACCAAGCTAAGTCAACTTCTGCGAAGAAAAAGACTACAACTCCCATCAGCCCCAGGGAGGTGGGGGAAAAAACTCCCAACTCCCCTAGGGCTCTGGGACCACCAGCCACCTGGATTCTAAAGACTCCAAGTCCCATGAGGCTCTGGGAGGTTAAAACTCTAACTCCCATCAGCCCCTGGAAAACAAAAGCTCAATTTCTATGACCCTTGGGAGGCTGAGCGTCCTCTGGGAAGCCGAACTCCCATTGAGTGGGAGTGATGATAGCACCTGCCGCCACAGCAACACCTGGGGAAGCCGAGGAGGACTACAATTCCCATGAGCCTCTGTGGCCACGGCAGCCTCCTGCCCGGGAAACCCACCACCCCCAGCATCTGATGGGTGTGGGAGCCAGGTCCTCCTGGACGCTGTGTGGCGGGGTCAGCGGGGCTGTCCTCGCTCCTGCAGCCCAGCTGTCCTTGGGTCACCAGAGTCCAAACAAAGGCCTATTGTCTGAAGCCTGGACAGCTGGACTCCACCCCCCAACCTTCCTGGGGGGTTGGGGGTGGTAATTGACTTTGAAATAGGGACTCAGAACTCCCAAGGAGTCCCATTGTTGGGGTGTCCACTCATAGCACTTAAGAGTCACATGGGGGGCAAAAAGGGCCTCCAAAGCTACAGAGTGGGGGTTTGGGAGGAGGCAGGAGTCCCTGGGCCCTCTGGCCTTAGCAATTGGGGGGATCTGCTCTTAGCTGGGGGATCCAGATTACCCAGTCAGTACAGTGTGCCCTGCAGTTCAGGAGGGCCAGGTCGGGGTGGCATGCAAGGTGGCTGGGTCAGCCTCTGCCCCCCGACTCAGGGCTCAGGCTTGGCAGTCCTGTCTACCCCCAGCATCAAGCCAGGTCAGTGTGGGGACAGTCAGGCCTACGTGTGTGCAGAGGGGTGTCCCTGTGCGGTAGGGAACGGACCGGGCCTTCGGCGCCCCGGCCCAGTCCGGAGACCTCGAGTTTCCCCCAGGCCCCTCCAGGCCTTGTTTCCCGAAAGGTGCCGCTCTAGGAACTGGGGGAGGCGCGTGGGGGGGGGGGGGGGGCTGGGTGTCTATAAATACCTACAAATATTTCTTGTTCTCGTAGACGTCGTGCAGCTTGAGGACGTGTGGGTGTTCGATGAGCTTCAGGATGGCGATCTCCCGCTCCACCTGAGGGGGGGTGGGGGGGTGGCGATGGTGATGGTGACAGAGGAATGGAGGTCAGAACAGCCCGTGTCCCTCGCCCATGTTCCCAAAGAGTCCCCCTCCCCCGAAACACACACGAACACACACACACACACACACACACACACACACACACCTTCATCAGCACCGATTCCGACAGCTTCTCCCGATTCACGATCTTGATGGCGACCTTCTGGCCTGTGATGCAGTGGACGCCCAGCTTAACCAGCCCTGGGGAGCAGAATTGAAAATGTGGGTGTTGCCCTGGCCGGTGTTGCTCAGTGGATAGAGCTTCGGCCTGCAGAGGAAAGGTTCCCGGGTCCTATTCCGGTCAAGGGCACATGCCCCGGTTGCAGGCTCGATCCCCAGTAGGGGGCGTGCAGTAGGCAGCCGATCGATGATTCTCTCTCATCATTGATGTTTCCATCTCTCCCTCTCCCTTCCTCTCTGAAATCAATAAAAAACATATTTAAAAAAAGAAAGAAAAAGTGGGTGTTGTTCTATAGCACCTACCCCGCTCTGGCTCCTAAGCCACCCCCCACCCCCCCGCCTCCTCCCCCTTCCCCGGCTGGCTGGTTCCCGGTGGCCTGGATCACCCTGACCTGAAGTCCCATGGGCCGCCAGCCGCCAGCCCACAACTCAGCTCTCTCCCACTCACCGAATTCTGTTCCTCCTGATGGGCCATCCACCCACAGCCGCCCTTCCTCTCACCTGATTCTCTGCCCTTCCGGGCCTGTGTAAGTTCATCTCTCCACTGTGTCTCCATAGCTTGGTCTCGGGCATCTGCCTCCCTCAACCCTCTCTCTCCCCATCAACCCCTCCCTTCCTTGAATTCTCTGAGCGTCAATCTTCTGGAGACTCCATGTCTCCCGGGGAAGATAATTTCATGTTCCCTCCCTCCCCAAAGCATCCCCTCCACTTTCTCCCAACCCTGACCTTCCAATTTTCTTCTTTGATCTGCTGCTCCTTGAGGCTGTAGCTGGGAGCATGCAAACCCCAAGGAAACCCCAACGCCACAAACCCAGGAGTCCAGGCCACAGCTCTCCTCCCTCAGACCCAGGAGCCCAGCCCCCAGCCCCTCCTCCCTCAGACCCAGGAGTCCAGGCCCCCAGCCCACCTCCCTCAGACCCAGGAGTCCAGGCCCCCAGCCCCTCCTCCCTCAGACCCGGGAGTCCAGACCCCAGCTCTCCTCCCTCAGACCCAGGAGCCCAGCCCCCAGCCCCTCCTCCCTCAGACCCAGGAGCCCAGCCCCCAGCCCCTCCTCCCTCAGACCCAGGAGCCCAGCCCCCAGCCCTCCTCCCTCAGACCCAGGAGCCCAGCTCCCAGCCCTCCTCCCTCAGACCCAGGAGTCCAGGCCCCCAGCCCACCTCCCTCAGACCCAGGAGTCCAGGCCCCCAGCCCACCTCCCTCAGACCCAGGAGTCCAGGCCCCCAGCCCCTCCTCCCTCAGACCCCGAAGTCCTGGTTCCCCCTCCCTCCTCCATCAGACCCCAGGCCCATGGCCCCTTCCCCCCATAACTCAGGAATCCAGGTCAGCAACACCTTCACACTCTCCTCACTAGGATCTGCGGTCTCTCCCCTCCTACCCCCCTCCTCCGGCCCTGACCCTCCGTTTCACAGACACCCTGGACCCATCCCTCGGACCCAGGTGTCCGGCTCCCACCCCACCATGCAGGAAGGAGGCCGTGTCTGGCGGCCAGTGTGCAGCAATCTCGCAGCATGCGCCCCCTCCACAGCCGCTGCTGGGGGGCCTGCCTCTCACTCCCCAACCCCCCACCAACCCCCGTCCCACTCTCCGAGCCCCGGCCGCCCCCCACGAGGCCCGCAGCCTGGAAAAGGGGGCGGATGCTGCAGACCCCGTCACCCCGGCCTCACTCCCCGTCTCCCAGGGCCCCGAGGCCGGAGAGCAGCGGCCTCGGGAGCGCACGGGCCGCGCATCCCCCCGCCTGCGGCCGCACTGCACCAAGTGCCATCCGCTCCCGGCGCACCGCCTCCCGGCCGCGGCCCCGCTGCAGCCCGGCCTCCCCGCGCCCCAGCCCGCTCCCCGGGAGCCCGGCTCTGAACCCTCCCCACCCTCCATCCTGGGGACCCTGACTCCGGGCTTCCAGGAGGCAGATGGGGGAGACCAAGCTATGGACACACCGCGGACCCAGGTCGCTCCTGGGCGAGGGACCCAGGGGTCCGGGCAGCCAGCCCTGCCCGTGAGCACCCGAGTCCCGCCCTCTGCCGCCCTGTCCCCCCGCCCCGTGAGCCCCCCTGCTCACCTGTCTGGCCTTTGCCCAGCGTCTTCTCCAGCCGATAGGGCCCCACATACTGGGCGTGCTGGGGGGGATGCGGGTGCGGGTGCGGGAGGTGGTACGCGGGGGAGCCCCCGCCTCCCTCCTTGGCCCCGGACGACATGCTGCCCTTGGTCCCGGCCCGCCCGGCCCCCCGGCCACCCCCCCTGCGGCCGGTCGACCCGTCTCTCCGGTGGGGGCCGGCGACCGCTCCGTCCCGGCCCCCCCGGCTGCCCCCCACCTCTCCGGGGGTCCCCAGGGGGCTGGGCTGGGCCCCCCCCCCAGTCGGCGGGCCGCGGAGCTGGGGGAGGGGGGGCGGGCCCGGGGCGGGGGGGGGTCAGGCCCCGGGAGTCAGCATGGCCCAGGGGGGCGGCGCGGCCCCCCCTCCCCAGCCCGTCCCTGGCCGGGCCCCCCTTCCTGTGCCTCCCCCCGCCGGGGGGGGGTCTGCGGTGCGGGCCGGCGGATGCTGCGGGCCGAGGTCCCCCCCGCCCCCCCACGCGCCCTCTCTCCTCCGCCTCCTCCTCCTCTCCGCCTCCCCCCGCCACCTCGTCCTTTCTCTCCGGCACGCTGACATCACCATCCGGGGACTCCGGGCCCTTCCCCAAAGTTAACCCTTTCGGGGGGCGGGGGGGAGCCGGAGGGAGGGCGGGGAGGTGGGAGGGCGCGGGGAGCCAGGGCGGGATGCGGAGCCGGGAGGATGGAGGGATGCGCGCCGGCAGCGGCGGGGATGCGGTTGCACCAGGAGAGAGGCCGGGTACCCCCCGCGCGCGCGGAGACGGCGGCGGGAGGGGATGGGGACCGTGGTCGGAGCCCCGCAGGGACGGGGTGGAGAGCGGAGGGTGCGGGGAGAGTTGCGGGAAAGCGGAGAGCGGGGTCAGGTGGAGAGACCGAGAGGTGGCCGAGGGTCAGGCCGGCGGGGAGGCAGGTGCGGGGAGAGGCTGGGGAAGCAGCTGGAGGGGAAGGGGGAGATGTAGAAAGAGCCGCAGAGAGAGACGGGCAAAGGCAGGGAGAGAGGGGGTGCACACCTGGGGGAAGCTAGATGCTGGGGGAGGTGGGGGCAGACTGAGGGGCAGAGAGAGAGAGAGAGAGAGAGAGAGAGAGAGAGAGAGAGAGAGAGAGAAAGGGTCTTGTCCCAGCGCATCTGTTTCCCGGGACACCAAGCCGGCCACCAGGGTCTCCTTTCCCACCCACGTTCACCCACAGCCCGGGGCATGTTTCTTTTCTTTTCAATAATATATTTTTATTGATTTCAGAGGGGAAGGGAGAGGGAGAGAGATAGAAACATCAGCGATGAGAGAGAATCATTGATCGGCTGCCTCCTGCACGCTCCCCACTGGGGATTGAGCCCGCAACCCCGGCATGTACCCTTGGCCGGAATCGAACCTGGGACCCTTCAGTCCATAAGTTGAGGCTCTATCCACTGAGCCAAACTGGCTAGGGCATGTGTTTCGAGTCAGCTTGGTTGCATACATCCATTTAGGGTCCTCCGTGTTCCTACAGAGAAACTTCCAGAACCCCCTGAGGGCCCTGAGTTGTTGTTGTTTTTTAAATATTTTATTGATTTTTTTTTTTACAGACAGGAAGGGAGAGGGATAGAGAGTTAGAAACATCAATGAGAGAGAAACATCGATCAGCTGCCTCCTGCACACTCCCCACTGGGGATGTGCCCGCAACCAAGGTACATGCCCTTGACCGGAATCGAACCTGGGACCCTTCAGTCCTCAGGCTGACGCTCTATCCACTGAGCCAACCCGGTCGGTCGGGGCTTTGTTATTGTTGTTGTATTTTAGGTCCCTATGTATCCTCTGTGCCCACCACAGGGTCCCCTAGATCCTCATGTGGGCCGAGATAGGATTGTATGTCCCCACAATAGCCCATCCGTGGATCTGTTCAGCTGGATTTGCACACCAGCCAGGCCTCCCCTATATCAGGTGCCCCAAGGTGCAAGGCATCCATGGAACCCCAAATCCCCTGCAGGGTGCACCCCGGAGCCTGCAGTCTCCTGGCCATGCACCCGCATTCCGTGGACCTCCCCGAGCACCAGGCGCGCTTGCAAGTGGTGGGGGGCCTAGAAAGATCCCGGCCCTGTGGCTGAGGCAAAGGCTAAAACAAGATAAGCAAGCAGAATATAGGGTCCATCCGATGGCCACGCTCAGGGCTAAGGAGGAGACTGAAGCAGGGAAGGGAACCGGAAGTGTGTGCGGAGTGCGGTATTTTAGATACAGTGCCGGCAGGAAACAGGAAGCGCGAAGGCCCCGAGTGGGACTGTGCCAGGCGGGGCGGTAGGAGCGCGGAAGGGGCCAGTGTGGCTGGAGGGGCCGTGGGGGTGGGGGTGACACCAAAGGAGGTGAGGACGCAGGGCTTACAGGCCCTTAGAAGTCCTGGTTTACTCCGGGTAGTCTGTAATTATTAATAGGGCCTGCTTTCATTCTCAAGAGTCTTTGCCATTAAATGGAAAATTATAGGATTATCCTACCTAGAGGTCATTGTAACCGGAAACCTATATGTGCATATTACCCAATATAATCCCAATAAATTCAATAAAAAAATAAAAGTAAAAAAATACATCTTTAAAAAAAGGTCATTGTAAAGATTATGGCTTTTTTATTTTTTTTTAAATCCTCACCTGAGGGTATGTTTATTTTAGAGAGAGAGGGAGAGAGAGAAACATTGATGAAAAAGAGAAGCATCCATAAGCATCTACTGGTTGCCTCCCAAATGCACCGTGGCTGGGGTTTGAACCCAAAACCTAGGTATGTACCCTGACTGAGAATCGAACCTGCAACCTTTTGGTATATGGCACGCTCCAACCAACTGAGCCATTCAGGCTGAGCAAGGCTATGGCTTTTAAAAAATATATATATTTTATTGATTTTTTTACAGAGAGGAAGGGAGAGGGACAGAGAGTTAGAAACATAGATGAGAGAGAAACATCGATCAGCTGCCTCCTGCACACCTCCTACTGGGGATGTGCCCGCAACCAAGGTACATGCCCTTGACCGGAATCGAACCTGGGACCCTTCAGTCTGCAGGCCGACGCTTTATCTACTGAGCCAAACCGGTCAGGGCAAGGCTATGGCTTTTATATGCTACCTGGGACCACCATTTAGGCCACTATCATATTATACCTATATTCATATATATATAATATGTTATATATAGTTACATGTGCATGTATACTATATAGTATGATGTATAATTTTATATGTAAATATACATTATCTATAGATAGGCTTGTGCATAGGTGTAGTATGTAGGTATGGTAGGCCCCCAGAACCTGTGAATACATCACCTTACAGGGCAAAAGAGACTTTGCAGATGGGACTTGAGTCAAGATGATCCAGTTTATCTGAGTGGCTCTAAATGTAATCACAAGAGTCCTTAGGAGAGGGAGGTGGGAGGTTCAGAGTCAGGAGATGGGACAGGGAAGCAGAAGGGATGTGGCCACAGTCCAAGGAATGCAGGCGGCCTCCACGAGCTGGACAAGGCAAGAAGGTAGGTTCTCTCCTGGAGCCTCCAGAAGTCACACAGTCCAGCTGACACCTTGATTTTAGCCCAGTGCAAGTCGACGAGTCCAAAACCCATTTAGGACTTCTGATCTCCAGAACGGTAAAATAATAAATCTGTGTTGTTTAAAGCCACCAAGTTTTTTAGTGATTTGTTAATAGCAGACATAGGAAAGGAATACAATAGGGTGCCCATGGGTCCAGACCCGTGTCTGATAGTTATCCTACTACACACACACACACACACACACACACACACACACACACACACACTCAGGCTCCCACAGGACCTACTAGTATATGTTTATCTTCCCATCTCAGCCCAAAATATCGCCCCGCACACCCCAGTCCCAGCAGCTCAATACATTTGAGATGAACTAAGGTTTCCTTAAGCTCAGCCCAAAACAAACACTTCTGCAGACCAGGCCTGCAGGGGCTCGTTCCCAGCCCAGAGCTCTGAATCTGGTGCGTGGAGGCTGTGAGCTTCCTAGACAAACTTGCCTGGGCATTTTGCTTCAAGAATCCCCCTCCTCTGCACCTGGCAGGACCCAGGGAAAATTTTACGGGGTAGAGAGGGGTGATAAGAAGGGTCTGCACATGCCAGGCCAGGATGGCTCAGTGGTTGAACGTCAACCTATGAACCAGGAAGTCAGGGTTTGATTCCCAGTCAGAGCACATGCCCGGGTTGTGGGCTTGATCCCCAGTGTGGGCCGTGCAGGAGGCAGCAGATCAATGATTCTCATCGTTGATGTTTCTATTTCTCTCTCCCTCTTCTTTCCTTTCTGAAATCAATAAAAATATATATATTTTTAAAAGGGTCTGGCCCTGACCAGTTTGGCTCAGTGGCTAGAGCGTCGGCCTGCAGACTCAAGGTTCCCAGGTTCGATTCTGGTCAAGGGCATGTACCTTGGTTGCAGGCACATCCCCAGTAGAGGGTGTGCAGGAGGCAGCTGATCGATGTTTCTCTCTCATCGATGTTTCTGGCTCTCTATCCCTGTCCCTTCCTCTCTGTAAAAAATCAATAAAAAAAATATATTTTAAAAAAACGGTCTGCACAGGAGCTGCTGCGTGGAGAACGGGTAGATGGGGAAACTGAGGCCAAGAGAAGGGGAGTGGTGAGTCAAAAGCTGCCTAGGTCCAGATGTTAGGGTAACCCGAACGCAGGGCTCCAGTAAATGGTGGGGTGGAGCCTCCGAGGCAGGGGAAAAGGCCTGCAGGTGAGGGACCAGCTCAACCTGCAAATGATAGGGGCGGGGCGGGGCCAGAGCAGGGGCGGGGCCACGATAAGGGCGGGGCCGAAAGGCCTAGAACAAGGGCGGGACCTCAGGTGGTGGGGAGGTGCAGCGTGTTGGAGCGGGCGGGAACATGGGTGTGGGCGGGGTCTCCTGGAGGCGGGGCCAGACCTGGGAGGGGCGGGGCATACACCAGGGCAGGGCTGGATCTCGCCAGGAGGATGAAGAAACAGGGCTCGCTAAGGGGCGGGACGCGGGACGGGGCGGGGCTTAGAGGGACAGGCCGCGAGGGGCGGGGCCTGTGCGAGGGGCGGGGCCACCGCGGTATCCGGTCGGGTGGGTAGGGCTTCAGGGCAGAGCAAACGCCGCCGCCCCAGCTACGGAGTTGGGTGGGTGCGCCG